GGAAGATATTCAAAATTTGTTAAATCTGTGTACTCCATGCATCTTTGTGTACAGAAACCGTCAGTGTATCCTACAGGAATTTTATGAATAAATTTTTACTGAACCAGTTGTCTTTAAGTCGGAGGAGAAATCTGAGGCCCTAGCTCTCTGTCTCTTTGAGCTCCGGAATTCTTTGCTGAGTTTGGATGCAGTGAGCGAGACCATATATAATTGTGTAACAATTCGTACAGACAAGTGATAGATCGTATCATAGATCCCGTATCCCGTATCTCGTAGATCCCTCGTGGGAAGATAAATAAGCTACCTCAAGGTCTAGTATGTTTATCTACATGTCAGCATTGATATTTGTCGTTTAACCTTATCTGACGGATAGGGTTTTTTTTTTCGGTCGTCGGTTAAAAATGATTTTTTCCTTTGTCACGAAAAAGTTTGAAATTTCCTTTCTATCATTATGTATTTGAAGACATGAAACTTTCGAAATTGATGATCTAAGCAGTATACAGGATGATCCTTTATGTATCCACTGTATGTCATGGCTCATTAACGAGAAGTGAGAACTTCTGATCGTAATATCCGATGGTCTAAGATTCGATCCTGCGTTCGTGACAAGTAAATAAGATCGATATTTCTTTCATTCTTTTGTCTCATGTTTCAAATTATTTCTATTTGTATCTTAAGTCAATACCCATTTATCTCATTTACTGCATTAGGTCGCTATTAACTTATTCTGTCCTCACCTTAACTCCTGTGAAAATGTGATTTGCCCCACAAATGTGTAACAAAACGGTGCACTTGGTAACACCAGCAGTATTGAAGAAGCTGAATATGAGCTCATCGAACTCGAAACAAAAAATCGTGTATCACTGTTTATTTCGTGATCCATGATTCTATTTTGGAGCTATGCTGTTTCACTATTTATACGCCAATTTGAGACTAGGCCTCATACAAGATCTTTTAGATTTTCATTTTCTTTAATTTGGAGTATAGCACAATGACATAAACATCCTACTTTTTAAATTTTTTTTGTTGATGTGATAGTCGTTAAACCACTGCTTGCTGCTTAGGTTGTGGGGCGCCGGGCTGTTGTGCGGGAGGTCGAGGGTTCAAGCCCTACACAACAGAATTCTGCTCCAATATCAGTCTTTACTGAGCCCACATTTTTATCTTCCGACGCACGATGTAAACACTCAAACATCGTGCCCATTTTGTCCGTCATCGCGCGAAAAGGTATATCTACTAAAACTGAACTCTGACAGATAACCAGTTAGAAATGATACTACTAACCACCTTGTAGATACGTAGTTCGAACATTTGAAGACAAAAATTTATTCACCGTCGACGACTACCGTGTCAAGTTTGGCGAGGAGGTTGAAGGACGTTCCAAATTCTTCAAAAAACCAGAATAATTAATGATGTGGTTGGCGAGGTTTCGTTTTCATACATGATCAATAAACCGTATGCATCGTGGTTCTGGGGTTGAAATTTTCATTTTTGTTGACACACTTACCCAATTTGGCTATTTATACGTTAAGGTAGGACCCGCGAGCGAGCCGGAAACCTGTGCTCTGATCGGCTACCCAAGAGTGAAAAATGTATTTTCTTTCGATTCCCACTTTGATTCCCCACAAAATAATAAAAAAAAGAAATGCTTGTAGCCTGTATAATTTCGTATCTAAACAGTTTTTTTTGTCACATGAATAAAAGCTTTTCCAACAATTTTGGCTAAAACAGAGGTCACAGATTCGTCCCAAATGAAAACAAAACAAAGCAAAAATCACAACGAGACTAACAGATTCATTTGGTCATTCCATGGTGCAGGAAAATATTTTGTTATCAAGTAATATATCCTTTGATCCTTTGCTGACGAAGCCTTCGTCTCGGTCTTTAAAATGCAGTGAGGGAAATTGGCCGATGTACAGCCTTCTTAAGCTCACAATTGTTTACTAATGCTCATGCATATATGAGGTATTGGATAACCGTGCGTGGATGCGAATTTTAGCATCGAGTGTTCATAACATCTTTTACACCTTCAGAGAGATAATTCAATTTAGGCAAGTAAATTCGTATCCAAAAGTGGACATGTATCATCATTTTTGTTCAAAAGATATTGATAAAAAATTTGAATCAAATACAATTTTTTAACCCTTTAACTCCCAAGATCTGATTGTCAATTCTCCATTCCAGCTGCTACACATTTTCTTGTCAATTAGTTATGAGAAGTTGGTGTTAGATTAGGAAAACAACTTTTGCCTGATCAGTTTGAGTATTCTCATTACTTTTTTGTGGGATAATGTATGGATATTATAGGGAGAAGTTACTTGTTGATCACTTCTGGGAGTTAAAGGGTTAAATAAGAGCATCGAATACAGAGATCCGCTGCACCGTAACTCAGCTCGCCGGAAACCAATTCAATATAGGATATTGTAATACAACAATTTCTCATTACAAGAACTATTTCCTTTAAAATGGAATTGAATTCAGCTTCGGGTGAAAAAAAGACAATTGGAAAAAAACAGCTTACATGGAACTTTCATGTTGATAAATTCGGTTATAACGACGAACTTGAAACCTTTATAGCGGAGCTCGCAGCGCGCGAACCGTAGCCCCACAATTATACGAAATAGTGGTAACCCATCCAGCCGAAAAAATTTGGACGTGCGACCGTACGACCGTACGACCGACCGTACAAAGTGCCACTTTTAGCATGCGCGGCCAACTGTACTACGGGCACTATCTTGGGTGGAAGGGTGAGGGAGAAGGTAATGCGCAGGCGCGATTGCGCGCGTAACTTGGATACCCCATTAGTGTGCGCCAGGAAACACCGGCTGATGACAATGAAGTGCGCATACTCGAGTGTCGAGCTTCAGTGTAGCGTACCGCGGGCACACGGCTAGGCATTGCACGAGGGCTTCACGTGGGTTAGTGGATGTGAAGCCGCGTAAGCAAATAATCTGCAACCCGCGTTTTGAGCGCGAAATCAACTTGGTGAGGTTGTAGTTGAACAGTAATTCTCAGTATTCCGTAAATTCTAATCAACTCGCAGAGCAACAATACAGGCAGAATCAAGGCTTTGTCACAGGAGGAAATTGTTATGATTCAAGTTCGTGGAGAGAGGGTTTTGAGTGAAAATAGGATGAAAAGAGCTCTGGATGATAAAAATAATAAAAGTTAATAAGTTATATCTTAACTCCTTGCTCGTGAGTATTGTTAACCGCGTGTTTCGAAGCGGAACAATGAAATATCAATGTGACAACACCGATGAGTCAAACAAGAAATAGCTAATTACATAACGAAGAGAGGGAAGAGTCTATCTTGTTCAGCGAGGTCGTTCAGCGATATTCCGGCGATGGAAAAGTCACCTGCTGACAAGCTCCGCTGACAAAACTCATTTAGTGAGTTTAGGCGGACGATTCGTGTATTTCACCGCAGACAGGAATGGCTCCAACTCACGTGTATATTAATTTTTTTTAGTTCCGGCTAAATAATTTATACGCTGAGATAAAAGCTGAAAGAGCGATTTATTAGGTTCTGCTTATGTTGAAGTCTAGAGTGCTTGCAAATGAAGCCCTCTTTTATTACTACAGGGCCATGTAATTTCTAAGTTGAGCAACTGCATGTCACGTTTGGAAAATCACGCAATGTTGCGTGACGCTGCTACCGATGTTTTTAATTTACTGTATGCTCTGCTGGAGAAATATGGCTTGGCCGCAATCGAGGGATTTTTTTTCGCGGAAAACTGATTTTCTAGGTTATTGTTCACGTGAAGGACAAATCCACTAACGTGCTCTTCATCTGTTTTTGCATAACACCTAAAGGAAGAAAGTCGCGGATTAATTTTGCTTGGTAATTTCTAACAACTCCATTAGACCTAAAAAAGGAAAAAAAAACCAAAAGAAACCAAAAAAACGTCTTACCAGTCAAACCAGTGGTAGTAGCTCTGGCACTGAATCATGTCGAAGTACCTTGACTGTTTGCAATGATGGTACAACCGATTTTCCAACAGTTTTCGGCTATAATTAGAAAGAGTAAAATGATTTTATAGAACTTGTTCTAAAATTAATGAAGGCTGTTCATCACATGACGCTGTATTGGAACGAGTATATCTCGTTTGCTATTGTATCACACTACTGTTTTAGGCAAGGTATTTATACCACTTAAATTTAAGAAAGAATGAGTAGAACATAAACCACATTTTCTGTAAATTACAAGAGCCATCCTAACCTAATTTGCCAACTGCTTTCCAGGCATCATCTGTAAAAAAACCGCTTCATTTTTTCAAATTTCAAAATTTTTAGCTAAGACCGTGGCTCCCAAAAATATTTCTCACCTTGCCTAAAAAATTTTTAAAAGAAATTTTCAAATTTTTCACAACTTTGCCTATTCCTGCTCGTAGGTCCAGCCAAGCCCTTATGGTCATTGGCCCCCGCAGTATCCACTAACAGTGGCTTATAAATGTAGGCGTTTAGTGTTAACTTGTAAAACTACCTGAAGAAGTTTACGACAGTTAGACGAAACGCGTCAGAGAATAAAGAAGTTTTACAACTACTGTTCGCACAGCGCTGCTCACTAGTTTAGTTTTAATTTTTTTTAATTTTTTTAAAAAAATTGTTTAAAAAAATTGTTAAAAAAATTATTGAAAAAAATAATTAATAAAGGTTTGATTCGGAACTATGCGGTGAAATACAGGAATTACTTTAGTCTCTGGTCGTCCGCCTGAACTGACTAAATGAGTTTAGTCAGCAGAGCTAGTCAGCAGATGACTTTTTCGTCGCCGGGATATCGCTGAACGACCTCGCTGAACAAGAAAGGCTGCCTTCCCTTCGCTACGTAAGTAACCATTTCTTGTTTGACACATCGGTGTTTTCACTCGCATTGATATTTCATTGTTCCGCTTCGAGACACGCGGTTAACAATACTCACGAGCAAAGAGTTAAGATGTAACTTATTAACTTTTACTATTTTTATCATCCAATTACAGATCGGAACCATTCCTGTATTTAGTCGCTTGTATCGCATGGTGTATTCGAAGTTAAGATCAGAGAGCGTTTACGCTTTTGAGGAGGCGAAGATGGATATCTACCGAAAATTTTTTTAGAATACGTTGTTTTCGTGCAGATGTGGGGTCTACAGCTGAGGTGAGTGGTAGTTTTGTGTTTAATTCGACAAATTAGCTCTAATTTGCCGTAGCTACCATAATGCTCTGAGGCGTAAATTCAAATAACGAACGTTTCATTCAAGGAAAGTGCATTTTTTCGTTTACTAAATTATGGATTAAAATTAGTTTTGGTATGTTTCGAAAATTTTCCATTCTCGTCAGCGTAGGATGAGGTGGAAATTGATAAACTGCGGAGTGAAAACTTACTCGTAGCGTAAATTTCGTTTGTTTATCAAATTTAAATGCCTTGGCTAAATCCCGAGTTAGAAATTTAACGGCGATTTACAGTACAACACTTTTGTGGGTAAATGTATTTAAATGAGCTTCAACAAAGAGAATTTATTACTCAGTCTACAAGGCATGTAAATTTCGAATTAATGAGATAGAGCAAAAAACTACACGTCAACAGATGTGTTCTTATACATGTGCAGCGAAATTAAAAGTACATATTTATATGTTTTAGATTGAATCGATCTCAAGAGAGGTGACAAACTAAATTGGGATGTCGTCTTTAACCTTAGTTAACAATGACTTCGATTTGCCCGCCTGTGACGAATAACACAAACATTCTCAATCATACATGAACATGGTAAATAGGAATCTGAACATTACCTTTTCTTAACTATGATTTTTATTCACATCCTTATACAACTTCCACATTCGTCAGGGCATGTTTTGCAACTTGTGAAATTAAAGCCATCTAAGTTATGCTAGTATTTTAAGTCAAGTAATGTAAATTAAGTAAAAACTGTTGCATGAGACTTCTTTTCTAATTTCATGTTCAAAGTGTATTTTTTCAATCCATAGGGACAAGATAGCTCAACAGCACAGCTATCTTGCAGTCAAACATAATCTTTGACTTGCTTATGATGAAGGTGAGCGATTAGTAACTAAGTGTTAATTACCAGTAACAAATTTGCTCTTAATCCGAAGCTTTCAGTGGTAAAAATGATGGACATCAATCACTTTCAAGCAACTTATTACCTTTTTTTAAATGGCCAGACTAAATCATTTAAGGGAATAAAATTAGGTAAGAATGCGTGATCAAAATACTTTATAAATGTACTGTAATCCTCCAGGATTGTAGCAGTTTCAGAGCAACTTTTTTCTCATGAAGAGTACTTGTTACCTCATCTGATAACTCATTGTCATTGGCATTGGGAAGCCGGTTATTCTACATCAAAAAGGTTGCATCCCATAATTTTATATCAGACTGTAGTTGCTTAGTAGCCTTCAGGACAAGAATTTGTATTTTTGCCAGGTGGTTTTCATACCTGTTGGCACAATATCTGGATTTGGGGTTGCGGTTGAGGTTGTTGCACAATTTTTCAAGCTGTATCACTTCAGGTGTTTTACCTAGTACAACCTCTGCTGCTTTTGTTGTTTTTGAAGTGAGGGGCTGGTTACTTTCATCTGATCTAGAACAAATCTCATGCTCTGAAAGCTGTGGAAGTTGGTTTTGCTCTAGAGGCTCTTTGCTATTTTCTTGAGGTTGTTGTTCCTTTCCTTGTTTTATGTCACTCTGTATGTGGTCATGTAAGTTTTCAAGTTGTGATTCTTCTCTAAAAAAAATACAATTTTCCCTCACATTTTCTGTACATGTACATTTTTACATGTTTCATTTCACTGACATTTTATCATTGACTACTATAATAACTTGAATGCAAAATACATTGTGGTTTGGTACGGAGATCAGTTTCTTCTATCTGACATTCTTCAGCAGCTGAGGGTCTGTCATCATTGAGATGTAACTTGTTGTAAACTAGTTCCCCACTCTTACTTCTCAGCTGGTGTAGAGGCAGTTCTTCGGGTTTCTCAGAATATTGTTTCCAAGCAGTCTCCAAACTGGTTTGAATGGGTTTGACCAAACTAGATCTGAAATGAAAGATGTGAGGACCCTCTGGGTGATGTGTGGCTTCACTAGGACCATCATGGAACTCTACGGAACCATCATCTTTCCAGTGCCACCAAACCCCTGGTCCTGGAAGCAGGAAATCACCTATTACCTCCAGCTGAGCCTGCCATAATCTTGCCTTCTTCGTTAAAAGGTCTTTACTTACTGTTGTGTTGGCTCTGTCAGGTAACCTCTTTGCCAACTTTGTAATTTCCCATTCTTGAATGCTGACTGTATTTTCCTCTACAGTGATATCTTCTCCCAGTATGTGAAGAAATGCATTCGGCACCAAATCTTCAGCATGTTTGCTCCATGTCTTTCTTGTTATGCTACAATTCTGTCAAAAAACCTTTCCAATAACTTAGCATTGATGGATGAAAGACACACCAGCATGAAGATGACAGAAGCATGATGCACAGCACTGTGATAGTAGATACCATACAATTTACGAATAGTCATGGTCTTGGGTGGGGCTAGCATGGCTCTCATTGCCGGTGCATGTTTAAATGAAAGGTTTAGATTACTGCATTTTATGTGAGTACAATGGGAATACACCTGCCATCTGCGGTACATGTACTTTGGATTTTGTAGGTTGTTGATAATTCGTATGCCTTTCTTGAAAGCCACCTGAAAAAGCTACAGCATATGATGGCTTTAATATCTCACAAACTTTTGAGAGCCGAGAAGGCAAAGAGGGACAAGGAGGAGTGGGGTAATGGAGTGTTGAGGGGGTAGGAGTGGGGTAATGGAGTGTTGAGGGGGTAGGAGTGGGGTAATGGAGTGTTGAGGGGGTAGGAGTGGGGTAATGGAGTGTTGAGGGGGTAGGAGTGGGGTAATGGAGTGTTGAGGGGGTAGGAGTGTGGTAATGGAGTGTTGAGGGGGTAGGAGTGGGGTAATGGAGTGTTGAGGGGGTAGGAGTGGGGTAATGGAGTGTTGAGGGGGTAGGAGTGGGGTAATGGAGTGTTGAGGGGGTAGGAGTGGGGTAATGGAGTGTTGAGGGGGTAGGAGTGGGGTAATGGAGTGTTGAGGGGGTAGGAGTGAGGTAATGGAATGTTGAGGGGGCAGTAATAAGTTGTTTCTCTTCTTAAGCAAAGAGAGATCTCAGCTCCTGGTGCTGTTCATTCCTCTTCTCCTGGACAATGTTATTTGTCATTTTTTTGTTCACAGCAAATTCTGTTAACATCCATCCATCCATCCTCTTTTTCTGATCAAATGTATCAGGGTTAACTCCCCAGGACTTTAGGTACTCCTTCAAGACTTGCCCAGCATTGGGTGGTGGAACACTTGCCCCTTTTCTTCTTATTTGATACTCCTTGGCCTTCTCAGACCAGTTCACAGTCTTCCAGTCGTTCACATCCAGCATTAGCTGCTCTAGGTTTCCATCCACAGTACTGGGAATGTGCGACCTCTTCTGTTGCTTGGGGGCATTTTTTACCCTCCTTTTGGCTTCATCAATGGTTTCAAACATTCTACCATTCTTTGCCTTTTCCTGGCTGCGAAAGATTTTCGTTGAGCCATTTGAAGGTCGACATCATTTTTTTTTCCAGGAATTTTCTACATTTTTTTAAAATTTCCTCTTTTCTTTACAGATTTTTTTTTTGGCCTCAACAGGTGAAACTTTCTTTGTCACCCAGCCTTGGGAACCATGGACATTACTTCTCCAAAGGACTTTCCCAGTTGCTCCTTACATACAGAGTCGAATTCCTTATATATTACTGACCCTATGTTTTTCACTTCTTTTTTTGTTGGTTTGAAGATTTTTTTTTCCTGGAAGCTCTTTGGCTCAACTTTTTACTTCTGTGGATGCCTCCCTTCTGCTCACCACACAACCTGTCCTTTTTTTGAAGAGGCTACTCTGTACTGGTGTTGTTAAGAGACAACATTTGCATTTTTCTATTTGGTGCACAGTTTTTTTACCCTGGGCAGTCTTTTGCCAGTCTTCCATTGAATATGCATTTAGATACTGTTGCTTTTTTTCTGGCGGCAACCACTGTGAAATTTGGCTATCAATGGCCTTATATTTTGGATCAACATCAGCATCTGGGCAACTGCCCACCTACCCCTCCCCTAACCCAACAACAGTCTATTGATAACAAGTGAGGGTTAATGTTGGGCTAGGGGAGGGGTAGGTGGGCATTATAAAACCTTTACACTGTAACATCAGTAAGCATATTCTCCTTACTGTTCTCAATACATTTTTGTTATGTGCTGGCAGGGAGAATTTGTTTAACAATCAAGAGGTTCTTTAGTTTGTTATTATTGCCTTTATTCTCATAACCCTAATGTTTGATTCAGGGGTGATATTGAAAGGGGAAATTTGATGCTAGACACTATCAGGAATTAAAGGGTTAAAGGAAGCAGGTTATTAAAAAAATTATAACTTTGATTCAAGCAAGTATTTGAATATGTGAGTAACATTTGATGTTTTCACATGTAACAGGATGATCAAGCTGAAGATGGCCTCAAAAAGGAGTGAACTCCACTGCAACAAATAAGTCACTACTTTTGAAACTCAAGCACTTGGTAAATACACCTTGGTTTGCAATTCTGATGATTACAGTTTGCTGAGGTAATTGAAATGTCAGTCTCCAAGCAGGAACCATCCACATGACCTGTAGAGTCATAAGCCATGAGATAACTTTAGAGAAATGCATTTGTGTCAGTAGAACTATTGTGAGTACAGTACCACCTAGTGACAAAAGTTAATGATTTCCTGTAAGTATGAATGTTTGGGAGAAGTTATAGTGGTAACCGATGCTTTTTTGCTAAAATGCATAGGATTTAATGATTGTAAAGTATATCTCTTAGCTTTTAAACTTTCAAATTTGTATTAATTGTAACTGTTTACCATATTTATTTCTTTGTACCTCAAGCCCTCAAAAGTTGAAGCAAGTTAGTCAATTACCTGATTTCCTGGTTTGGAATTGTGGGATTGATTGATTTATTATTGATTGATTTATAATTTTGCTGTGTAAGTTGCCACATTATAACATGTAATATTATTATTTGAATTGCATTAAATACTCTCGCCCAAGCTTTCATTAATGCATGGTGTTTCTTATCAATACTCATACCCAAACTAAAGATTGATATTAGGAATTGGTCACAAGATATGTAAGTTTTAAATGGTGGGAAACTGGAGAGGAAAAAATCCCTCTTCAATTAGGACTAAAATTAAAGTGGGCTCTGCTATTTTAATTCATGTTTTTACTTTGACCTGCATGAAAGTAAAATTAATTGACATCCGCATAATGCACAAAGCAAGAATATAAATGACCTAGCTTGATAAGTTATAAAATTAAAATAAGAAAGTTGTGCAGACCATAATCTTGCCTTTTATCCTTCTCTGGATATTTACTCAAATAGCATAGTCACTATCAGTCTCTTGCACTCTCACTCTCATTCTCCACTGAGCATGTGGAAAGATGATAACCTTGGGAATTTTTTTTAAATGAAGAGAGGAAAGCTTGCCCTCTTACCACAGATAGTTCTTTTGTACGTCATCAGTACATACCTAGTCTTATTTGTACATTAAGTTGATTGTTCTAGGTAGGCTAACCTAATAAATTAGTTGTGAAAATTTCTTTGTTTGACTCAATTTTACCTGACAAACCTAAACTGAATAATAGAAACTTAAAATTTATTTCTTCTCCTTTTGAGGTGTGCATCAAAATTTTGAAGTCATGGCAGGCTTGAACTACAGGTTTATAAGAAATCTGCATATGTGTATGTGTGTTTTAACATATAAAACCGGTGAAAAGGTTGCTTAACTTTTTTCATTAGTACACATTTCTTTTTCTTTTTCGCTAGATTTAAAAATATCTAGAAAGAGAGTTTATTCGAAATCGTTTCCGAGAATCATGTGCATATGTAGACAGCCTGGTGACGTCAGTTTTCTTTTTACTTAGTTCGAATAATGTTATCTTTCTACTAGGCCTGCTGACACATCCAACGCTTGCTTATATCAATTCAACTTCTTCCTTATATTTACTTCATTTTCTCAATTTTTTCAAATTTAAAATCAAATTACCATGAATAAAAACAGGCTTTTCTCACCTCACAATCGACATTCCTTTCCTAGCAGCATGAAGGAAGTTTGTCATCATAGACTCAGTTAAACGATCTGCCACGAGTCTCCTACAACTCAGTGGAGGAGCATCTGAAGTACTAATCGGACGGTCGTAGCTCCGACTCCTAATTTTAGCACACCGAGTTCTTTTTTCTTGAGTATGCCTGTGTCATTCCTTGAAGGACATCATCTTTCATTGTTTGTTTCCCTGGAAATGTCGTCTTTTTGGCTGGAAGGTGTGAGAAAGCTTTCGGAATAATCTTTTGTTGTGCAATGTTCCTTCATTCTGATATTTAGCGATGATAGAAAACAAATACACAGATATAGCATATTTTTGTTTATATTTTGATAATGTAGTTCCGTTATCTTTAAATACATTGTAGAAACCATGACCAGATTATAGGCCTCGCGCTTGAGCCGCGAATCAAAGCGGAAAAAAAAAATACTCGCTCCTGAACCTACAGTACTCAAGTGGAACTCGGGTGAGTAAAAGATGTGGGTTATTCATTAATTATACAACCAAAACTAACGAGACCTGAAGTGTTACTTAGGAGTCTTAGGTGTTTTTACACCACAAGAGAAACACAGATACCGAAAGCATAGTGAAGGAAATTTTCTTATTAATGATGCAGGCGATTTGTCGGCCTGGAAACTTGACGATTTTTTTTGGAAAGGTTGACCAAGTGAGCTGTAATTCGACGGATGAGTGAAAAGGAATGACATAAGGCCAAAGTTCGCAAAAAGTTGCTATATAGCGAATACGACTAAAAATACAAGGAAAAAATGAAATCTGATTTTCTTCTACTGGATAACGTGGAATTCTCGAAAATTGGGAAATTTCCGTCTGTTGGAATACAAATACTTGTGATTTTTTTTTTGGTTTGCCCGATCGGAAAATATCCAAAACGTGGTAAAAAATGATGAAAAATTAAAAGATATTTGAACTTCCCAATTTCTCCAGGCTGCTACTAAAGAGAAAGGTGGTGTAGTGGATTAAAGCTTTCATTTAGCTTACTATTTGTCAACAAATTAAACATTCCCATCTATAACGATCCAAACTGGCACAGAGATGACATCCCAACACTTAAATGAGAGCTATGTTGAAAAGAATTACTGAAATGGCGTTGGTGTTTAAAATTGAATAATAATAATGATTATAATAATAATCCAAAAGAAAAAAAAAACCAGATTGATGTAAAGAGCACTTTGAAATTACATCGCCGAACTTTCATATTTTATTTGGTCTGTCGTCAATGCTTTAAAAGTACAAAAAGCAATTCATTATTTATTCAGTACCAAAGCTATTGCATTTCCGTTCAATCAACTATAAAAAGTGTAAGCCTCTCACCATGTGATATAATCTTATACCATTCTGAAATTACCACAAAACGTTCCTTAGCGTAGCAATTTGCACAATATTTTAAAGATCTCACGAACGTGCTCAACAACCCTGGCAGTTCTTATCATCATTGGCAAAGAAACGCCAAATAAATTTTAATGATTTAAAGTACCAACTGAAAGGCGAGCTTTTCCAGGTACCAGTGATGCAAATATTGATAATCATTAATAATTGAATTTTGATATTAACTTATATGCCAGGCGTAGGCAGCAAAGTGTAGATGAAGTGCTATTCTATGCTTGAAATGAATCTCAGGTCATTTCCGGTAAATTTCTGCGCTTTTACTTTCATTTTTTTGGGAATTTGGTTTAGTCGTAAAACGAATGCAAGCCAAGGTAAGAAAATTGTATGATAAATATCAATTTGCTTTCGCAAGTCCTGGTAAAAGTTGCCGTGAAAGAACTCGTTTGACTTGAAAGTGTATATTGCATTGTTGATGCATTCATTGTAATAAAGATTGATTAGTTGTTCTGATATTACGACGTGGAAAAGAAATGAAACTTGGAGAAACAATTTCGCGTGAGACTTTGAAAAAAGGCAATGCCTAAAGAGAAGCATTATCATAATTTCACATGAAAACGAAAAAATGAGGTTAGCTTTTCGCTTGGAAATTGTCGACCGTCTCGGGTAGTTTTTCACTGTAAATGGTTAATGTATTTGCTGTGGAAGGATGTGTCTCCTGTCCACCGTGCCTCCACTGGTCTATCGTGTTTAAGATTAACACCATTTTTTTTTATTTAAAGCACATATGAGAAGCGCACATAATGCTCAGGGTTCCACGTCTTTGAACAAATGCTATCAGATTTATATAACGCAAAAATATTAAACCAAAAAAAGAAAAAAAAAACATAGAAATTACACCCGCCAAAGTTGCAACTCTACTTTGGTTAAAATTCATTTATGATGTTTGGGCGACATGGAAACAAACTGGTCCTTAATCATCTCCAAGCTTAAGTCTTGGCTTAATTTATTCAATACTCGACCGTGAGGCGTCCGATAAGTCTCTTTATAGATTTATTGATATACTTTGTTCCATACAAGACCGAAGCTACTGAAGCTAACCTATCGCGGCCAATGCACGCAACCCAACCCGCCACACAAGTTCGTCATCAGGGACCCTAAGGAAACTGCGACAGCGGCAGCAACAAGGATGTGGCAAAGCATTGCACTTAGTTATACAAACAGTACTTGCAAATGTAATAATGCTTATGCTGTTGACAGTACTTTCAATACTTTAATACAATACTACTCGCAGCATCAATATTCAAGATTAAAGTAGCAAGGAAACTAAGAGATTTTTAGGGCAATAAGATATCTTTTTCTTACCTCGCATGATCATGCAGGTTTTCTTAGAGAATCCTTAAGATTTTGCTTTCAATTTATTATCAGGTATTTGTCGACGTTTAAAGTTTACTACAACAGTTGATGGATATGCTCTTAAAGGTCATGTGATCAAGAATATCTCCGTCAAAGCTGCTATTCATCTGCACAGTCATTGTAAAAACCTATGTATAATGGAGGATACCTGTGTATCTATCAATATAGGTCTCTTAAAAGGCAGATTTCTTTGCCAGCTGAGTAACTCTGACCACATAAAACATCCAGGAGATCTTGAGAACGAGGAAGGATTCACGTATAGAGGCAGAGAGGGGAGCAACCCGCTCAATAACACAATGGTAAGCAAATTTATACCAAATTCAGACGATCAGATCTGCTAGTGGTCGATGCCAGGATTTGTCCGCCTACAGGAGCAGAAATGACGTCACGTTGTCGTGATCTGTCAGAGTACAGTGGCACAACTGACGTCACGTTTCTTTGCGCCGTTAATGCGCAAAGAAATTATTTTAAAAGCCATGCAGTTTGAAGTCAGTTCTTTTTTTTCCTTGCTGGTGAACTGTTATCAAAAAACAAAAAACTATCAAAATCTAATAGAACAACCTAAATCAAAAAGAAAATACGTTTATGATTAAAGTTGACTAAGCTATAGTTTTGGTTTGGTTTCAGAGCGCGTGCCACACCAGCCCGTGTCTAAATGGAGGCACATGCCAACCTGGAATAACGGTTATGGACTATACATGTGTCTGTCAATCAGGCTTTACGGGAAAAGGATGTGAAAAAGGTGAAAAGTTACGTCGGTTATAATAAGTAGCAAAAGTAGTTCGCACGCCTCCGGATCCCCACCCCCTCCCCCAGCACCCATTTGTCGGTGGCCGACAACCCTACGATCAACAGAAATCATGTAATTCATCTGAAAAAAGAAACTTGAAAGCCCCCTTCTCCCTCCAAACAATATTGCCTGGAATCGGTGAGCAGTTTGTTAACATCAGTGAAATGGGGGGAAGGAGAGAGAAATGAAATTTACAGAAAAAATTCAAAAAGTAACAGAGCGTACCATTTATTGTAGTTAAATATTGCTGACATTGTGTATTTTTTAATTGACGCGTCGCGACGACTTACAATCAATTCTCTTGAAATAATTATTAACTTTAATTAGTCGGTTGTTATTGATGGAAGCTAGGCCGTTGTAACATTTAGCAATGAATACGAGAAAATTACGCGCTTAAGATTGGCTAAAAACGAGTACATTCTCATTTAACACGAGTGCAAATCATAAGTAGCGTCCTCTATCTTGCTTTTTTCTGATGCTTTTTTCATGTACTTCATTACCAAGTAATAACATGATTTCTCTTGCAATTTGGTGTGCTACGCACTTGTAAATTTTTCAAATTATACCCGCCCTAAGGGCTCGTGCACATCTGTTGTCATTGAAAATTTTTATTCCTGTTTATCAACAACAAAATGCAATCGAAATCATTTTACTACCTATACGTATAAAAAGGTCAAAATCTGTTTTTTTTCTTTGCTTATAACATCAGTAGCTTACTGTAAGGATAAAGTTTAGATCATAAAAAGGGAGTATCGTTTCTTTTCAATATATTCTTAAAATACCAAAACTACTTCGCTAGCAAAGTACTCAATTTGCTTAGTATTAGAGCGGCTTTTCCTTTTTCATAAAAATCTTGTCAATGATTTTTGTGATGTGTTATGACCATAGAAACCAAAAGGCTGTTTTTATTTTCTGGCTTGAAAGCTCCGTTTCCTTCCTGGTCTTGTCCCAATCTCACCCCTTCAAGTTTTAGCACAGTGAGAGAGGTCTTAGTAAAATCTAACCCTTGGTAACTGACATCTAGGTTTCCTCACTCAAGATTGGTTTTGTATAGGTAATAACATGATTTGGAATGCAATTTAGTGTTAATAAGCACGAGTAATTTTTTTGAAAGACAACAAAACTGCACGAGCGCGTAGGGCAAATGCAGTTTGTTGTCTTTGAAAAATTCCAAAGCGCTTAGTACACCAAACTGCAAGAGAAATCATATCAATACTTGTTAATAATGTATGCGACAAAACATCGCAGAAAATCGAGATAGACGAAATGTTTGCAATTTATACTCGTGTTACAGCTTTGCACTCGAGTTTCAACTTTGCACTCGCGTTACATGAGAATGCATTCGTTTTTAGCCAATAAGAAGCACGTAATTTTTTTCATGTACATTATTGGATCAGTTATTCTGCATATTTCAGGGTTCAACGCCGTATTTACAAACCTGGACAGAACAGGACGCACTGGTCCCAAATCACTTGACAATCATTACGCAGGTCAGGATCACGATGGACAAGTTTCTTTGTCGAGAGGTATTCAACTCTGGACTGTGCCTTATTCTGGTCACTACAGAATAGAAGCAATTGGAGCCGCAGGTGGTTACAATGAGCAGCACGACGGCATATACGCCGAGTATCGAGGAAGAGGTGCAAGAATAAGCGGGACTTTTGTATTGATTAATGGAGAAATCATTCAAATTCTCGTTGGCCAGGAGGGGGGCAAGAGTGAACGCACAAGTAGTGGAGGGGGTGGATCTTTTGTAGTCAAAGAAACAAACGACTGCTTGGTAATTGCTGGAGGAGGTGGTGGTGTAATCGACCCGCAATCAAGACATGCAGGATGTGATGCCAGTGCAAACACAACGGGGAATCCTGGCTATAGATCATGGTCGGGGGGGAGCAATGGACATGGTTCCCAGACGGTTGATGATTGTAAAGCAGGTCAGGGTCTATATTATAAATAAAACATGACGATAAGTAATGGTAATGGAACTGAGTGGAGTCCAATCCGGTCTGTAATCATACGAGTGATAACAAAGTTGGACGACTGGCAGCGGGAATCTGTTTTGTTTATCGGGATTTATTAATCAAAAATTACAATTACCGAGAAAAGAAGAATGGCCAAGTTATGAAAGACAAAGAAAATTTGTCTGTACACTGATTCTATGGTTATTGAGTCCAAGGTTGTTATTGGTTGAATTTTAACTACAACTTTGAACGTGATTGGCCTATTGAACTGTCCAATAATAACAACTTGGCAAGTGAATTAGTGGAAAGTAGGAAATTATCAAACCAATCACAATCGAGGAAATTGTTATCTTAATGATAACAACAGGAAGACTTCGATTAAAAAATATGTAGTTATAATTATCGTTAGAATTTTATTAGAGGATGGTTCCAACTGAACAGTTCACTTTAGCTGTTGTTATTCTGAAACCGTGATTATTTACACCAAATTGAATCCGAACTTATTTGACTATCTATACCTATATGACTGATATTTATTATTTGATGTTCAGGTGGCGGTGGCGGAGGTTTTTACTCAGATGGAAGGAGTGGACTGGAATATGGAGGAGTATTAGGAAATGGCAGCGAAGGTGGTAAGGCTTTTCTCAACGGAGGGAAAGGGGGCAGGGCCGCAATGCCTATTATGTTTGGCGGCTTTGGAGGTGGTGGTGGAGGTACACACTATAAAGGGGGTGCAGGCGGTGGAGGGGGGTACTCTGGAGGAAGCAGTGGGGCTGGTGTGAGCGATTCCTGTGGGGGTGGAGGTGGATCGTTTAACTCGGGAAGAGATCAGCAGAATGAATGTTGTTACAACTCAGATGGGCATGGTCAGGTGACCGTAACATTGCTGAAAGGAAACTAGCAGTTTACCGCATTAGGGCAACGGAACGTGCAAGATATGCTACGGTATTACGCTTAAGAACAGGCAAAAAATTCGGACAGTTTCTGTTTTCCCTCGCCCTATACGGGGATTGGAAAATATTCACGCGTATTATACATGAAACCATCGAATAAGTTGTAATTATTGCCCACTAAAGTAGAGAACGTAGAGATGAACCGTTAATGGCGATTTATTTCAATGAAATGGGGCTACGGCCTTAGGAAGACCGCACATACCACTGATTTGAATAGAAAAGAGAGATAATTCAAAGTTGTAATGGCGTGTGTAGAGATTTGATATGTTTGATCACATGTTTGATTAAAGACTTCCTCTACTCGTGCCCTTCGGCTGCTGCCCTTTTTAGTAACATGCGAAGGTAAACTTTAACCCCGGAACGTGTAATCCTAATGCCTTATTTGTAAAAAAAAAAAAAAAAAAAAAAAATCGCCCCTGTGGGGCCGAGGGCCTGTCAGGGAGGCAACGCCAATGAAGACATCGATTGAAAGAAAAGAATTTACATCTTCATTTATAAGTTTGCAAATGGCTGGATGTGTTTACCGTCTCTTAAGGCGCACACCTCAATTCAGTAAAACGTGTGGGAGCAGCCATGAGTTAAACATGGAAAAATGAATCATTTAACGTCGGGGTTAAAGTTCTCAGACCATGCAAGTTTTTGATGATTTCACGTTGTTGTTTTACACAGGACGGCTAAGAAATATATAAAGCTTTGAAAGATACGTGCGGAGCAATTTTTCTGCCCATTAGACATTTTGTTTTGTCACATTCTTGTTGCTGTCCCACTCGTGGTTTGACTTAGTCCCTTTTATTATGACTAGGAGTCAATCATTTTCCGTTCGGCCCTAGCGAACTCAGTCAGTAATTAGATAAATTATCCTTTTTTAGAGGTTATCGAAAAATGCCACAACGGCTATTAAACTTGACGACCAGTTTTGTCGATGATGTTTTTGCTGTTGTAGCGTAATTTATGGTTGATGAATATACCTTATAAGACGTTTTGTGTGTAACATTGCAAAGCATTTTTACAAGCTGTGCCGCATGTTTCCAACCCTCTCATAGAGAATCGTTGAGGTTCACTGCTTGCATAAAACCGCGGTTTGCGTTAGACCTGGTCTTAATAGGTGGCCTTTAGTGTTCAAATTGGGGAATGAGAATGCTCCTTTTGGTTTTCTCACTAGAATCTGTGTTCCAGCAACCCCTGTGCCCACGGTGCAACACGTCTCAATGGATTCATAGACAAGAGACACATTTGCCTGTGTACACCTAAAGCCATAGGTGAAAACTGCGAGAATTGTTAACAACATTGTAACAATAATCTTGAGTTGAGGTTTGGAAGAGTGATCATTTTACGATGAAATCCATGACCCCTCTCTTTTTTCGCCCGCTGATTGATGATTCAAATTTTTTTACATTTTCATTTTTTCATAACTAAATGGTACAAAGTTGAATAAGGATTAGGTCCTAAAGAATATCACATTCTCTTGGTTAGGGTTGACTACGAAGATTCATGATACTTTTAGGATTCATAACTAATGATTCCGCCTCAATTGTCGAGTTTTAGGACCGAGTAACAAGCAATTGAAGCACTTATATATGTGGCTAATCACCTCTCCCTATTTCACGGGTATCTTTTCACAGAAACAAAGAAACAGAATAAAATTTAAAAGCCAAATTCGAATTTATTTGCTAGTTTTCTACTTTGTTGTTTTTGCTCTTGCTTCTTCCTGTGACAACGTTTTTGCAATTAGGTATATATCTCTGTCTACATTTTGACAACTCTATTAATCGAAAAAATAAAGTTTTGAAATTACTCCTGATATCATGACAAAATAACTTATAAAATTCCGCCTACAAACTGTTGGATTCCAATGTTTTTCCGGCCACTTTCACCATCTAAAGGGCTTTATTATACAGGATCTTTTATCATCTTAAAAATTACCCATAGATATCTTTAATCAGACTGTTTTCTGTAATTTAGGAATTATTCTCCTGTGGACTTAGATTCCTTATTATTCATCTTAGTATCTTGCATGAAGATTTTCCTTTTCTGATTGTTTTTCAAATTCAATTTTTATGTCACAACATCCATAAAAGACATATATAAAATCTATAACCACTGAGACAGGTAGGTGGATCATTATATACCATTCGTATTTACCTTCCTTCTTACGAAGAAAATAAAACCCATGTATCTATAATTAATTGAAATCTTCCGGGACTTGGATATCTCTTTTCGGTTTGAGCTTTTTTGTCAGCATTCAACTAACCAAATCCAGCCCTTTACGTTGTAGTGCGATGGTTATATTTGCGTTTTATATGCATTGTTTTTATTAGAATGTTTTGATTTGATCATGTCATTTCTGCAGACGCGGGGCCTCTTTTTTCTGAAAAGTTGACTGAATGCCGACCGCAATAAATAGATTCCTTTGAGTTTTCAAGGAAGCGGGCGAATTAAAATACCATTTTTATGTGAAAAAAAGCTGAACACAGCTGGAAATCGCTTAGTCTCGTTTTAGTATCAACAACATTTCTAGCACGCAATTCAAGTTAAGCCGCAAAATACTCTGTGGTGGGAGTGAGCCTCAACACGGTCATACAGCGCAAGCAGTTACATTGAGGATTCTGGAATTATACTGGAAACGTCTTTCAATTGGAGACACACTAACAATCGCATCGTTACATATCTTTTTCTTTGGTAACTATCTGCTGCATTGATACGTCGATACGGTAGAATAAATTTGCAGTATAATCTCTATGCAAAAGGATCTCCATTTTCAACAAAGAAACCTCCGGTAAGTGGCATTTTATTAAAGGACACTTTATAAAAGAAAACGAATCTAACTCTTCAGGGAATCGAATTGCTAATTTCTTGTAAAAATGAAAATTAGCCCCCTTCCAAATTTTCCCTTTCCTTTTATTTAAAGCTTAAAGGCACGCCGAGTACTGTGAAAAGTTCGGAGTAAATGGCGTAATGATCAATTTGTGTTTTTAATTTGTGCCGAGTTTTAAGTAAACTTTTCAGATTAACGACATAGCATTGATATCGACAAAACCATTAGTAGTTATTTCCTCTTTTAAGGTTTAGCTCGCGACAGTGAGATTGAATATTAATTCGCAGAACGGCTTGCTTCAGTGTCTTATCATGCCACTTGTTTTAATTTAACCTTGCCAATACAGACTGTTTCCTAGATAAAAGAATAGCAGACGATGGCTTGAAAAAAACAGAAGAGAACCTTTCCCATCGTATATAGATACTCACGGGAAGGACTGAGACAATACATTGTTCCTTTTAGTTTTTTAATCCAGTTTTATTCAATTGCATTCGCACGTTTAATCTACAATTGCAGTATTTTGTTTACCATTGCAGTATTTTGTCGCACTCAAAATGATATGTACCACTTGATAGGAACTCATGATAGCCTGATACAACTTTCACAGTGAGTAAACACACATAACAAATGCAGAGGACAAAGTTTTTTCATTTAGCACGGTGAGTAAAATTGACTTTGATAGCTGCATTTCTCTCTCAGTTTGTTCCATATTGGGTAGTATTGAATATTTCTTCTGAATATTTCTCCCTCCTTTTTTAGAGTTTTTCTCCGTGACCTCCTCGATTCTCTTCCTCTAACATCGCAAATCAATTTCAATTAGACCAGAAAACATTGGACAGGAAGGAGCCACCTCGTGTAGTGTACACTGCTAAATTTACATTGCCTTTATCATTTCTGGTGTATCGTTTACATGAAACTCCTTGTTTTCATCCATCGTTTATGTAGTCAAGGCTTGAAGCACCTCTACAAATGAGTCTGCTTTAATGTAGTTTGTTTGTTTGTTTTGTTTGTTTCGTATTTTTTGTAATATTGTTCCAATTGTACCATTATAGAACCTTTGAGCTTATGCCTAAGTTATCAGCAATAGGAACCAAATCGCAATTTCTTTCAAAAACAGTTTTCAACTGTGTCGAAAAACCAAAACTAAAGTAAACACAGCGATCAATCCAAACAAATGTTTACATTATCATTAGCCAATGAGCGGTCAAACTTAAAAAAACCAAACTGCTCGAAGCGCGGGAAAACGAGAATGACCCACTCGCGATTGTTTTCAGTTTCACTATTGATTGGTTGAGAAGATCGCGCAAGTCTTCTAGACCAGTAAAAATAAAGTTAAGTAAAATCAAGTTAATCCCTGATTACTTTTGACACTCAATGGAAAATTCTTCGAAAGCAAAAGTTTTTATTTGCTATGTCACGGGCGTGAAGCAAAGAGAGTCCGTCAGGAGAAATCAAACTTTAGAAGTTTGTATCTCGCACTCTGTTGCTTTATCTCAAGGCTACAGAGGAATCGATAGTGAACTACAACATGCGCTAGGTTTCAAAGCGTGGCACTTTCAGGATTAATTACGATATTGATTCCATTAGCTCTCTGATCGATCATTTTTCCGCGCAGGTTGCTGTTGTTAATGCAGACAGCCATTGATCCGTCCACCTCAAGAAATGGCAGTGGATGCACGGACAAAACTTTTATGTACGTACCATTAGGGTCTTTAAAGAGGCTGATACTGTTTGTATTGTTTGTATCTGTCGGAGTGATAGGACTTGTGGGAAATATTCTTGTGCTGTGCTTTCTGAAGTCCAAAGCGAAAACAGCGCCATTTGCCAAAGCCTGGTCGTTTGAAAATAACTGCGATGTCTACATCAAGAGCCTTGCTATTTCTGATGTTTTGTGTACCGTTATTTCACTTCCACCCGTATGCATTCAGTTGTATTTTGATGTATTCAATCAAGGCTGGAGTTGTAACATAGTGCGTTATTTAAACATTGTATTCACCTCGATCACCATGAATAACCTGCTTTTCTTCAGCATCGAGAGGTTTATGATATTCGCGGAATTTTTCGTCATTCTTGTCTCTCCACTGTGAAAAGGGTGGTAAAGCTTTCTTGGCTCGCAGGATTTTTATTTACCTTGATCCCTGCTTCGACTTTCAAAGATATAAGGTTCGATTTGAACCAGACCCATTACACTTGGGTCTGCAGGTATGACGATAGTTATTTTCCATTTAGAATAATGCTATTAAGTTTTACAACTCTCCAGTATATCATACCAGGTTTCATAACAGTTGTCATCAATGTCTTACTCATCAAAACTCTCTGGGCAAATGTAAGAGGAAGCAGAGTGCACATTCAAAGAGACAACGCCATCAAGATATTCCGCAGAGCTGCCGCAATTCGAGGTACCTCAATCATCGTGACCCTTACTTTGGCTTTTGTTCTTCCTTATTTATTTTATTATGGTTTAGTTGTGTATAACAACGTAACAAAGACAGACCATCGCCTTGATTTCAAAACAGACTTGGCTGTGCGTTCTGGAAGTGCATTGATTGCTTTCTCCAATAGTGCCATAAATGTGATGATCTACATCATGCAAATGAGGTATTTCCGACTCTACCTTAAGAAAGCATTTCGGCCAGGATGTTTAGCCAAAGGGAAGAACTTTTAAATTGGGATAAAAGGGGAAAAAAGAGTAAAATTTCATTTGAGGCAAAGAGTCGATGAATGAAAAGGTAACCAATAAGAAGCCTCGTCAGAAACGTTGAACGCAAAGAGCTATTGGCAAAAGTCTTGGGGGAAAATTAATTATGCTTTTACAGTAACTTTTCATCATATGTCGCAGAAGTGACATCTTATTAAGCTCCCTATGTTATGTTCATGTAAGGGTTTGTTTGCCTTTTTATAGCCTCTAACAATCCTAATCTGTAAAGGGACCTAGCAATAATTCCATTACAAAGGAGGAGTTTAGAGATGGTGAGGCACAATGACATTAAAATATATGATAAAACGCATAATTAATATATGTTTTACTTTGTTACCTTGCGGGAAGAGAAGCTATTGTGCAGGATACGTTTAAGAATACAAAGTAGAGAAAACTTAATTTCAGTTGAAAGAACTTATGTAATTGGCCACAAAATTCGTCAATGAGAGGCAGCGACGCTAAGGCGTTCATGTAAAGAAGTGTGTATATATGCATGTATAAATATTTTTTTTATTTCATCTGAAGCACAAAAATTAATGAAATAAAATTGCGCGGCATTCCTCCAGGGTGTCTACTCTGCCATTGTTGTACTTTCGCATCGTGTATTAATTTATCCAGCGATTTAATTGTTTTTCGTTAATGAAAAACGTTTGCCGGAAGCAATCGATCCAAAAGTATAGTTGAGCAGTTTTTTCTTACAGAACATAGATAATTGTGGCCATTGTATTGCCTCAGAGAGCGTTGAATAATACGAATGGTATCTTAATTTCATAGCCAATTGAAGATTGCGGATGAGTTTTTGTCTTTTTGCGAAGGCCGTTTACCTTAATTATTAATACGCGAACACCGTTATTGTGTCATTTAACACGGTTAACGTGTCATTTTACTGACCTAAACTGTGCGCCATATCATCACTGGCGTGCCTTCTTTGCTTTTTAGCCCGTTCTGTTTTGGGTTTCACTCCCAGTAATTTCCAAGTCTGTGACTGTAAAACGTTGGTGCTCGTTTCATTTTCAAACGCAACTTTAAAGCTCGGAATTAACTTTCTCGCGTCCTTTGCTGAGAAACGGTAGATGCCGAGTTTTGTAAATTCAAATGGGGTTACGACCATATGAACTGAATTTTAAGGTGCATTTCTACAAGCACTGCTCTGCCAGTCGAAGGGTTTGTATTCATATCGTCACGATATCCTTGACGTTTCCGTCATCTTTTAAAAGATGATAAATTCATCCTTTATTATCTAACAATCATTTTAAAGACTTTTTTTTAAAGAAAACGTTAGTAGTTTCAACTTTAGAATTAATCTTTTTGATAAAAGTTGAAGAAGCTCATTTCATAATTAGCGGTGTTTAGAATCGGAAAGACAAACAATACTCTAATGTCAAAATATGTAGGGTTCAATTTCCTTCAATCAAATTTTTAAGTTGCCAATAGATAATATGTGTTTTTTTCCTCTCTAGTCGAATGTTTTTTGTTCAGAATCTTTGTGGTCTCTGTTTGGAGTGGTTGGGCCTCTTGTGAAGAATTGAACCATAAACCATTATTACCAATATTGACCGTACCTAAATTTTTTTTTCTTTCATAAAAATTCCAGAAAGAGTGAGGGTGGCAAAAATTCCAAGGAATTGCGCTGTAGATCTTGAAATTTTTTTTCTAAATGAGGATATATAGATTCACAAATCATAACTCATGCTCCTAGAGCGACAAATAACTTGTTAATAAAAGTTGTAGTTTCGGCTCAATGCTTGCACATCCTGTTATACAAATTAACATTGGGAAAACACTTATGACTTCGTTTGTTTACATTATTTATGTTGACGACAACGATTCAAACACTAATTTCCTTCACTTGCCTTTCGCCAAAATGACAAGTCGCCCTGGGTCAATGAGAAATCTCGGAATTGTGCACATTGTATTTGGCATTCTTCTGACAATTTTTGGAATTGCAGAGTTTCAGGTTACCTCCAAAACGAATGTTTTTTTGAGATACTTTCTTTCGAAAGGCGAAACTTACTACTTTGGGGTATGGATCGGAATTTGGGTGAGTAATGCTGCGTAGAATTTTCCTCTCTGTTGCTATGTGCTATATTCAAACTTCCAATCGAAACAAGCTTGAGGAAGTTATCGTGTAAAATTATACTGACAGCTCGCTATTCAGTAAAGGCTTCGATTGAGTCACCTGTTCTGTTGGCTTAGCTTTTCTTAATGCTTTCAGTTTGGGTTAATGGTAAGCGAGGGATGACGGGTTTTCTACGAAAGGAAACTTAACGTGTATGTTTGACCCAGGATCATTTCTTTCCCCCTGAAAACTGTGGATTCGTCGTTAATGAGAAGACTTCGTTGCCAAGATAAAGGATTCCTTAAAATACTTCCTAATCCAATTTAGGTTAATGTGTAAGCCCTATATCTGCCAGTGAAAATTATTGTCACTTAAGGCAATATCGATATCAACTGACTGGTTCCTAAAATTAAATATGGATTATAAAACTACATGATGTTACGGATAGAAAAATGCAAGTACAACACTGATAAAAAATCGAAAACCCAGCAAAAATCGGCAATAAAGAACCAAGGTGGATTAAAAAAATTAATTGATTGAATGAAAATTTTGCTCTTGTAATAACAAGGAACTCAATGTACTAATGATGATTTTACCTTATTTGGTATTAATCTGTTTCTGTGCAGATGCTAGTCACTGGAATTGTGGGTGTTTTTGCAAGTCGGAAGGACCACAAAATCTGTGTAAGTTGACAATAATTAGCTACAGAATTGAAGTATTGTTTAACGAAAGCATATGGATAGGATCCTTATTAACCAAGAGTAATCCTAAAAAGAAAAGTTATTTAAATATATTTCCTAAACTTCTGGATACTGATACTAATTAAGCACGTGACCTTTTTTGAGGACCAATTTTACATCATCAGCCTCGCTTTATTTTTTATCTACAGAATACTTTCCATGGGTATAAATCATTTAAATTGTGTTGATCCGATCAAAGTTTAGATCGCACCACGATTAGATCGCTCCAACCAAATGTTAGATCGCTGCTCTCGAAATTTGTATGTTGCTTTCCAGCACCTCTAAAATTATGGAAAGTGGAACGTGTGAGTGTTTAAAAGAGAAAAAAAAAGATGTAGCACTCTACATCTGCCATACAATGTGAATGATCTTTAACATTTGGAACGAAAAATGAAGACATAGTGCTGTGTATGTTTATGATTATTATCACTTTATATTTCTCTTTCCACGAGACCTACACTCCCAAACAAAATGAATCTGGACACTTTTCCACAACAACTTTCTTTCACCCCCTTCCCTCCTCCCTCCAATGCTGTTAATCGCCAAATGAATGTTTCTATGCCATCTTGCAGACCAACTTTGGGAAGGGTTGGGGATTAGATGGTCCTACAAATATGTCTGGGAGTGTAGATGCTTGAAATTACAATCATTTTTTTGACAGATTGGTACTTTTATCTTCCTGTCCATCGTCTCCTCTCTGTTTGGTGTGATGATAATAGTCGCCTACGGGACATACCTATCACTGATCTGGATCGTCGCCATTTTGTTCCCTTTACCAGTTGCCATCGCCGGAGCCATAGCAGTTCTTGGTCTTATTGAGTTTATCGTTGGATTATGGGCAGCAATTCACAGTTGCCTCACTTTTGTGGATGGGACACCATTCGTGGGGGAAGCGGTGAGCTTTGAGTGACAACCTTTCATAAACTAAACTGATTACAGAATAAGATGTTCTTGTGAACTCGCCTTCATTCATAAAGATATTCAAACATACACGCAGAACTCTCGAGACTGATTGTTTCGAAATACTCTATAGGTGCGTATTGGAAACTAGTCGTTCACGTTGGGTATGGCAAAAAATGAGTGGTAAATGATAAATGATAAGCAATAATAGTTTCGGATATGTTAAAAGAAGTTTAGGAGACGCTCCACAATGGCTTACAAGTAATTATTTTATCCTTAATAAATGAGAAATCCATAATTGATAGAAAAACCTCTTTATTAATTTTTATACTGATAGTTAACGAAAATCGTGAATAAACTCAGATTTCCATTGAATAATGGGGGTAAGTTTCTAAAGAACCTGTGGTGCTGTGCCGGTGGGAGAGTGTAACAGGGTAATATAGTATTATCAACTGAGTTGATAACGTACATTGGCCACCGTAAAGAGTTTAAACGAAAGCTGACGTTTGGAGCGTTAGCCGTTCGACATCGCTCTAACTAACGCTTCAAACGTCAGCTTTTTAATTCTTTATGGTGGCCAATTTACGTTATCAACTCAGTTGATAATATTGTATTACAGATTTCCATTAGGATTCAATGTAAGAATTGTTTCCTTACCTCGTTCCAGGTGCGGGGTCAACAGCTGCAGTTTAACGACAACCCTGCGGTCGACAAAGCTAAGGGGAGCGAAGGAGTTTTCGTATCTATTCCATTTAAAGAGGAACTCGAAAGAACCACTGATGTTGGAACATTTTCACCAGGGGTTCAGGAGCAGCGGCCTCAAACGTTCCCTCTACGTATCATTGGAAATACCCAGGTCCACCCTGAAACGGTTGACCCAATCCATGGCTAATTTACTAAGTCAAAATAAACAGTCATGCAAGTTAAACAAACGAAACCCTTCCTTGGGATCTGAATTTTACCGAACAAACATTTTAACCACTACTTTTTTTGCCCACATATTCCGTGATTCATCGAAAGAAGCAAATTTTAAAAGACGAATTTTCAAGGGAAATTTTTGATAAACCTGTTAGAGAGTTCTCGCTTGAATGCGATTTTGTCCATTGAATAAAATCCTCAGTTTTCCTTAACCGTGCAACGTGAAAAAATTGCAGCTGATTACAAAAGAGGAAACTATTTTTCACGCAGACTGTGTATGCTACGTTACGAAATAATTGCTTTTAGCTATGCGTATGTCGAGGTATCGAACACGGCACCTCGATCAATTCTCCGTCGCACGGTTCCTGTGCTCTTTGTGCATGCATTAATACCTCGCTATAAGCACGCTAAGCATGACAAATTTCTTCAATACAAAAGCATGATAATCAGTTCTTTGTTTTTAAAGTCAACTTGTTTTACCAGACGATCTGACCTTCTGTTGACTATTGTATTATTGGTGACCCTACGAAAACCGCACAGGAACAACATAGCCACCCAGACAAACACATCTGATTCGAATAAGAACAAACGGGAAGAAAGAAGACTCCACTTTCGTTGAAGACGAGAACTCTTGTTTTTCGAAGTCAGTTCAAGCACCGGTTCGTAAATTGAGTCGCTCTTTATAATCGCTAGACTCTGAGAAAGGACAGGCTTTCATTTTGAATTAGCGTGACGTGAGTGACGTCACTAACTAGGGAACCTGAGCTCAAATCGTCTAAAGAGTGAATCTTAAAGGCAAATATGGCGGACTCCTCAGCACAGGCAACTTCTGTGGCGCGGTTTCTTGCCATTGCACACATTTTTCTGGGCTTTGTTCTCGTCTGTTTTGGTATCGCAGATTATGTTACTCGGGACTTTTTCACAGGCCACATATGTTTTGGAATTTGGACCGGTTTATGGGTGAGTTGAGGGTACAAGTAGCGACTTCTATATCGTACGCCATTTAAATAAGTCGACATAATTGAGCATAATCTATAGTGCAGTCGAGCTTGTTACTTCATCTGTTTGTCGAAAATGACTCATATTTTCACATTGTGTTCTGCTATGTTATAATGAGAAGATTTCAGAAATCGTTGAGCATAGCGGTTTGTATTGTCGTCGGAAGCATTCGGGTGCAGATATAGCGAGTCTCTGAAGTAAAATGGACAGAAATTAAGTCTTCCCTGTCTGGATAACTTTTGTTCAATATCTGCACAGTAATCATTTAACTTTTTTCACTCGATCGTCTCCAGTCGAATCTCTGAAGCTCTTTTAATCAAATTTATCTGAATCAAATTGATCGCAAGGTACATGTAAATACTCTTTGGACACCAAACCAGCTAGTGCTTTTTGAATAATTAGGAGATACAGGGACTGATTCAACAGGCCTGTACGAAATCCCGGAAATGTTTTCCTTATAGTTTAACCGGGAATACTTTTTATTTCTAATGAAAAGAAACCCAGCATTTTATTGTCTCGACGCCAATTCGGCCAGCGGCTTTAGACATAGTATTAAATACATATTTGGCAGCTGACACAAGTAAACATGATGGATTTGCTTGAGCGCTCAGAATAAAATATGAAACACTGACTCCGGACCTCAGATCATTGAACACGGACTGGGGCATAAAAAACGATCTACATCTTCAGATCCGAGTACAGCTAGAATACAGACTACAAACAGATAACTAAATATTATAATGGCTTCTAATACTCTCCTTCTCCGAGAATATTCGGGGTAAATACGTCGCCATCAAAAAGTTGTCCCCAAGAGACTTCACGACAGAGATTCTATACATATATATATATATGTTTTTTTCAACTGAATTTTTTAGCAAATTTTGCGCAAAGTTTGCGTGAAGCATCTGAAAAAATTGTGGTGGATCGTCATGAAAACTTTTCGCCGTGTGATTACCCGAAGAAAGATTTGTGATATGATTGTTTTGGCTGCGAAATTGTATTTTCGATGCCGGAAGAAAGATCCATCTCACGTATTGAAATGCAACTATTGAACCGGGCATTCCTAAGGAATAAATAAGCGCTTCATACACTTTACACAATTGCATTATGGCCAACGTAAATGTCTATAATTTCTAGGCGGCGAGTGAAAATAATCCTTAAGAAAGTGAGATATCAACAATTTCGCATAGGATCCTTACTTTCGTAACACATTGCTCCTTTATTCCAATGTCTTGTCTGCTTTACACTGGGAGCAATTTTTCCAAACACCATTTTCCAAAAATTACAAGAAGCCGAATTTTTAAGCTAGGTGAATTAAAAGGGCTGTTCAGTCAACACGAAAATGATATGAAATAATCTGATCCTTCCCCTCTGCACATTAAATTTGATAAGTTTTTCTTAGACACTTCCATTGTTTTTCATAACATACTCCAGCTTGTTAATGTTGTTCATTTCTAGATGGGTATCACAGGAATTTTGGGTGTTGCTGGTACTTGCAAGGAGCAAACTAACTCCCGAGATATATTTGTGAGTTGACATCTCTTAATCTTTATTTAAATGTTTGTAATGGCCGCATTCCAGATAAACATCTATCTGGCACTCTCACTTTAGCAGATATTCCATGCTGCCATACAGTAAAATGACCGTAGATGTAATAATATGGCAACAACACCAGTAACACACGTCTTCTGTGATCTGTTACTGCACTGACTCACGACAAAACGGAATCCATCTGTTAAAGATGATTAAAAGATAAACTTTTGTTATAGGTGACGTCACATGTGCTTCTGTCCTCCATTAGATCATAAGTGAGAGCCAACAAAACTTTGCATCATACAAAACCATGAATTACATGATTCATATTGTGGACATTTTCCCCTTTATTTTGGCATTATTTTCACACACCATCAGCAAGACTCTTTTAGGTTTTTTCTCCCTTAATTTTTTTTATGTTTAGGATCATATAGAGGTTTTATTTTTAGAATGGACGCGTCCATGCGAGTCCAAGATTGACATCAATGACGTCTAACAACTTCCCAATCACAACCGCGTTCTGTTAAATCTTAAATCACGAGACAAGATCGTTTTTTGGTAACAGTAACATCACTCATTAAATTATAGGCCAGTGTCTTCATGGGCTTCTCCATCACCTCAGCTGTGTTTGGTGGACTGATCATTACTGTCTACAGCATTGCAATTGACTCACATTCTTACAAAGATTATCACGACTCCTACTATTTGGTCGATGAAGCCGAACTGAACCATTCGATAGAAGAGGCGAAATATTCAATCACTGGCATCATTCTGTTCATTGGGATTTTAGAGTTTCTGTTGGGAATCTGGGCAGCTATCTGTTGTTGCGTCATGAAGGTGTGTGCGTGTTGCAACATTCACGCGCAGTCTCAACAGGTAAGCCTTCTCCAGGGCCGGTTATTTACACGAAGTCTAACCCAAACCGCAGTTTTGTGCAAACAGTGGGCCCTGGGTATTTTCTACAGGAATGTTAAATTGAATTGAATTCATGTCCGTCCTTTCACTATTGGCTTTTGGCCCTCCCAATGAAGCAATTGTTCAGATAAAAGGTTCGGCTAAATCGAAGATGACTTAGAACACGATTTTGTCAAACAAAGGCTAAACTTTGTTTAAATAACCGGCGACCATAGTTTCCATTCTTCGCATTTTAAGAGTTTAGGATGTCAAGACAGCCATACCTGGGAAAAAATCCTTTGAAAAATAACCTTCGTTTCTCCTAATTATTCCGCAATTCATTTTATGTAATTATAAAATTATACAGTTCTTCCTAAAGGTATAATGCAAAAACGTGGCACAGCGCTCAATGTAAATGATTTGCTGTCAGATTTCCCGTTTCAGACTGTGCAACATGTTGCGATTTCACAAAGTTGTTTTGTGTATGACGACGAGGAAATGTATGAAACGCATGTGCTACCGTCTCGGCAGATCCATCGAGAAATGATAAAAAGTAGAGTGCTTATATCATTTTACATGTACGATATACACTCGACTTCAAAAACGTTGGCACTTAAAATGCGTTAGCCGATGAACAATTAAACTCAACGGCTTTATGGGCACACATGTACATGATAACCACAATAGGACAATACCGAATTAATTTTTGTCCCTTTTTCAAAACGAGGCCTGGTGCTCAACTTGAAAACAAGTTTAATTTGCATGTGAATGAGAACTTATAATCATATGAGAGGATGAGCCCCACGACTCGCTTTGAAAATGAAAAAAAGGAAATTCGAAAATGGCCTCTTAGTTGCACGTGGTAAATGGAAGAACTTCAGAGTGCTTTCCTAAAAGAATATAATTATCAAAAATAAAGATTTGCCAGGGATGATGAAAAGATGTAAGGCTGATCATGCAACTGTGCCAACATTCGAACATTTCACCTAAATCCTATGGTTCTCAGTGCTCATGGATCATGCTTTATAGGTACCAACGTTTATGCAATCGAGTGTACACCGAGATACAACCAAAACTATTCAATGCCTCATTGATACTCAAGCCAACAAAGATCGACACACAAATTTTCCTTTTGAAGATGATAGGCACCTATTCACGACATTGAAATACAAAAGAACCAAAGAGAACGACCGGACTTTACCGACGTATCGAAACCGACCAATCACTGAGATCTCATCTTGAGTTGAGTCAATTTTGTCTGCTTCTCCTACCAGAAGGTTCCCCTACTGATTGGGAAGTCTATGCAATAAGCTGCCAGGATAAACATGCGATTTCCTGACTCATTTTCACGAAAGTATTTCAGGTTTCTTAAATGACCACTGAGATGTGAAATCTCAAATCTGCGTGGATGAAAATCGTCTTCTTTGTCATTTGTAGATGTATGGACAAATAATGCAACCAACCATGACTTATGGGTCTGGTGGTCCTGTGGCAGTTCCAATGCAAAACCCTGTTGGTCTAGGTGCAGTGCAAACTGAATCACAGATTCCACAGGAAGGCCAGCCTCAAATGATCATGATGCCTGTATCTGGACCCATGGGAGGTCAACCACAGGTGATGCAGGTCCTTGCATCTGGAACCATGCCTACAGCTCAAGTGTCTCAAGGTTTTGAGATGGCCGAATCCACTGGACATGGAAAGTACATGACTCTAAACAACGACCAGGTATGATGGCTAAATTCATTGAATAGAATTTCACTAACCTCCCACATGAGAGGGTAAAAAAGTGGTAAAAAACAGCTCGAGCGTATGGGCTAAGGTCATGGAGTATCCATAGAAACATACTAACACTACGTAATGGTTAGGAAGCTGAGTAAAAAAAATTCCTTCACTATATATTTCTACCCGCGGATTCTTTTAGGACCTGACCTTTCACAATCTTTAAACCCATCTTAATCAGTAACGGACCGATAGAAACATTCATTAACATCATATTATCCAATCACAGTGTACGAACACAAAACATTGTGCACGTGTAGGGAGCTCCAAACATGAATTGTAGGACCATCGTTCCTATTATTGAATTCTGGTGGATTTGACAACTAAGTTTGTCTCCTTGCGTTTTATGTCCGAGGTAGATTAATTGGCTGATAGTGATAAAAACACAAAGCAGCTGATTTCATAAATTGATTTGGCTGACTTCTACAAATATCAATACGACGTATTTGTGCGCTAAAAAAAAGAGATACTTACCCATATTTTATTGAATTAAAAATTTTGCAGGATATTACAGCAAATCATGCATAGAAGAGTGCGGGTAATTATAGAAAAAAAATTAAAAACATTTCAGCTTCCTGTAATAAGTTTTTTTTCTGTTATAGACTGCCACTTCCCAGTCGTCCGATTTTGTAAATCACTCGTACGATTACCAACCGAATGGGACTCCACACAGTCCTACTATCATTTTAACATACGTATTTCGTCAATTATTCATTCTAGGTGTGAGATGTGTTACAAGTTTGGTTGAGATCATCGACAAGGATATTGGAAGTGTAATGAATATTCAAAGAGGACCCTGGTTGCATAGTTGCCTTCGTTTTGATTTAAAGTAGTAACAGTTCTGTTTTGTTTCCTTGTCGAATTTATGCCCCTATTTTCTAGATACTTTTGTTCAAAGTTTGAATTACTTACGTAGCTAGCATTCCTAGTAAACCAGCTTACAATTGTACGCGTATATTATACCTTTATATTGGTACGCTCGTTATTGAGAGAATTGGAGTTAGAAGATCGACGGAGTTAGATCACAGTTTTTTCTTTTTTAAATTTAAGATTTTTCAGGTTATGTAAAAGTTACAGTTTCTTTAACCTTAAAGACAGGATCAGACGGAAGATCCAGCTAATCGTATTTAGTTTCGTTTTCCTTTCGACTTCGCTTCTTTAGCCTTAAAACATTTTTTTTTCATCTTGCACATTGCAATTTCCCCTTTTTAGTTTTATTATATTAGTTTAATATGTGTATGATATTCAGACGATAGCATTAAACTTTGTTGGATCAACTTGTGTCTCTTCGATTCCTTCACTGTGGTTGGCTCTCGATCAACTCCAGTGCACAACAGCCCGTGTCCACTGCATTGGGTACGCCACAGGAAGATAGCAAAAAATATTCCTTCAACATATCTTTTTATCTTGTTAATACTATATATATGTATGCGTGTGCATGTATATATGTATATTTGATTGTTCCGTTTACAGTGATCGATACGTAGAAGTAGAGCACGATATATGTTGCGATAGGGAAAAAAAAACAGAGAGACTATACTCTGATGAAAGTAAAGTCTGTTTTTTTTCCCTATCGCAACATATATATATATATATATATATATATATATATATAAAGAGTAATTTTGACTTACGTAAGACAGTGCTCAATACATAGGAGTAGAGCGATGTATATATTGTGGGAGGAAAAAGACAAATAAACTACCAGTTCATCCCTACAGACCTGTTTCGTGGTTGCCCACTCATCAGGGGATTATACACGAAACAGGTCTTTAGGGATGAACTGGTAGTTTATTTGTCTTTTTCCTACCACAATATATATATATATATATATATATATATATATACACACATACATGCATACACATATATATACATACGTACATTACATACATATATATAGTATAAATAAACTATAATATATTTCTTAAGTTTTATTACTTTCAACTAAGAGAATATAAATTGATCATAATATCTTTTTCATACTGAGAATTAATGTGCTATCCTGTTATTGCAAGAATTATGGAGTCAAACACGTAAACCCACGGGTCTAGTGGGAAAGGGGGGGGGTTACCCCCCCCTCCACCCTATTCTTAGATTCGCCTCTGAGTTGCTTTTTTGTGAATTTGAATTAAACGATAGGCGAAAAAAGAATCAAAGTTAATTAACTTTCAAACAGATCTTAATGAGTTACTTAAAATAAACTTTCTCACCAGTTTTGACGAAAAAAAAAAATGGAACAAAAATAAAAAGAAAGAAATTGGCATTTCTCTTGGAATAACCGGAGAGGGAATGACTTTGATCTTCAATTGCCTGCCTCACCCAGTGACCTTTAAAGAGACGTGTTGAAGGATGACGTTTCTATCCCTGGATATGTCAATGAATTTAGAAATGGAGATGAGATCAGAGGCGGAGGAGTGGGCGCTTGCATTAAGGAGTCGATTAAAAAGAAACAGCGCAAAGACATCTTTATGTCCTGACACAGAACATCTCTGACTAGAAATGCAAGGCCAAAACAAGCACCGCAACTTACTATTCGGGAAAATTTAGAAATTTTGAACCGAGAGTAAAAAACTAAAGATTGGCTTGCGCAAATGGAAAATCTACCGTTAGAACTGACCAACTCCTAATACGGCTTTTCATTTTAATGGGGGACGTAGACACAGACTTGCTACGATTAAATACCCCCTCACTACACCAGTGCTTGGATTTGCCAGGTAAACTTAATAGATACGTCTTCCACATTGATGTAATACCGTGCACAGGTATTGGTGATCACGACGGCCCGCACGCCCGCCTGAACATTCGCGCCGAGAGGTTTGTTCAGAGCTGTAAGTCCATTTGTTGTGAACGCAATATTCCACTACAGGAATATCTGCGAGAAATTGATTCACATCATCTATGCAGTGGAAAATCCACACAAAATATTAAAACTGTTCAATACACTTGTACCCGAATGTAGGGAGGGTCGCGCACCCTCGAAACGTAGAAAGTTGAATCGCCCACCCTCACACAGGTTTAACACAGATGAATCTCCTGAAGTGCGCAATCAACTGAAACAGAAAATAGAACAAGCGAGAAAGTCGTAAACCCTGGTGAAAAACCTCACAGGATCTTTGAGGATCTTCAAGGATTGACAAAGACCTGCCAAAGATCCTTAAGGACAAGGATCTTTAAAAGATCTTTAAAGGATCTGTAAAAGATCCCCAAAGATCTTTGTAAGCAAAAACGTTTGTTAAGATCCTCAAGGATTTGATAAAGATCCTCAAAGGATATTACAAAGATCCTCATAAGGATCCTCGCAAAGCTCTTTTCAAGGATCCTTCAAGATCCTCAAGGATTTAGCAAGGATCTTTCAAAGACCCTCAAAAGATCCTTTCAAGGATCCTTTCAAGATCTTTGTAAGGATCCTTAAGGATTTAATCAGGATCTTGCAAGGATCCTAGTCAAGATCTTTGCAGGATCTTTTTGAGGATCTTTCAAGATCCTCAAGGATTTAATGAGGATCTTTTAAATACCTTCCAAAGATCCTTTCAAGGATCCTATTAAGATCTTTGCAAGGATCCTTAAGGATTTGATCAGGATCTTACAAGGATCCTACTCAAGATCTTTGCAAGATCTTTTCAAGGATCCTTCAAGATCCTCAAGGATTTAATGAGGATCTTTTAAATACCTACAAAAGATCCTTTCAAGGATCCTGTAAAGATCTTTGCCAGGATCCTTAGGAATTTGATCAGGATCTTACAAGGATTCTTAAGTCAAGATCTTTGCAGGATCTTTTCAAGGATCCTTCAGGATCCTCAAGGATTTAATGAGGATCTTTTAAAGACCTTCAAAAGAACCTTTTAGGGATCCTGCTAAAATCCTCATATTTGCTAAGATCCTTAAGAATTTGATTAGGAGTTACAAGGATCCTAGTCAAGATCTTTGCATGATCTGTTCTACAATCCTTTAAGATCCTCAAGGAATTGAAAAGGATCTTCCAAATATCTTTAAAAGATTCATTTCATGATTTTGTACAGCTCTTTGTAAGGATCCTTTTTGTTTTTGATGTGGATCTCAAAGGCAACTTTGTCAAGATCTCTACCACATCTCTGCATTATGACTTAGGTTCCTTTGAAATCCTCAAGTAATTTCAAACATAACAAAATTGTAAAGTGAGGGCTCACTGTTTTATAATTTAAACACAAAAAGGAATTTTCGCAGAAAATTATTGTGCAATGAGTGTAATGAAGGTTACCGCATAGCAACGCCATGCTCGAGGCTTTCGGGAAACTTTGTGACTACTTACATGACAACAAATAGGGTTTTGCATCATGGGATAGGAATTTATACGCGCCGAGATTTTTAACGGTCGCATAAAAACATAAGAAGCTCGTTTTTACGGCAAATATGGAACTAAAGGGAAAATGTACACAGAAATAAAGGTACAGGAAAGGCGTTTTCTGGAGTTCAGAAACAAGCGAAAAGAGAGACAGAAACAACCGAAATCGTCAATCAAACTCCAAGCAGGTCTCGCGATTGCTCTGACTGTGAGGCTGAATAAAGAGAATTCATCGGTACTTCTGGAAAGAAAATGAAGATGCCATCCTCGCCTAATGATTCTTACTCTGAGCTCTTGGAGAGTGAGGATGCAAATGATGTGTTACAGGGACAAGGATACAGGCTTATCGATCTAGAGAGATTCTCCTCGACGCTCACTGAAGGACATGTTTCTGAAGAAGGTGTGAATTTACTTGGTTCTGTGTAACCAACTTAAAAAGCTCTTTTAGAGGTTGTCATATGAATTCCCGAAAACACTTATTTTGTACCTCAGGATGTATTAGTTCAATTAATCTGAAGTTTTCGGGGCTGTATCCTCTTACTGAGTTGAGTTGGATAAGCTGACAGTTTCTCTATAAGCTGAATTTTAAGTAAGATGTTGTGGAATAACTCACCTAATAATCTCGGTGAACTTTGAACGGGCATTGTGCCCATAATATAAACGACTCCAAAAGTTCCTCAGCTCATCCAAAAGAACGACCCTATGCAATCTTTGTGCAGTTATCTTTACTCAAGTTTACCTAGGTTTTTCACACCATGTGGTGGACAAATTGATCTGATGTCAAATAACAAATTAGTTTAGGGCAACATATTAGTTATATTCAGTATGTGTGATTCCTAAGCTTTCCTATGGTATATAGGTTAATATGATTCAGAAATATAGTCATTGAAGTACTCTTGTTTGCCTTTTTTTCATGTTTACCCCCTCTGTAAGAGTAGTCTGAGTCTGGTCATTAAGTCTAGTCCTAGACAAGTTTAACACATATATTTTGGTCTTCTTATCTTTGAGCTGGACTGTTGCCAGATTTTTTGGAAAATGAAAATCTTAGTACTAACCTAAAGTCTGAACAGAAATAGTGTAGAAGTAGTCCTACTAGAAGAGGATGGGTAATTCTCGTTTAGCAATAAAAAAAAGTTTTATCTTCATTTTTTTATGTTTGGTTCAATTTTTCTTTTTAACTTAGTATGAGGATTTAAGTATGCTTATTTTCTTGTCAAAATTTCAAAGGTTCTATAACATTCTTGCTAAGATCTTCAACGATCTTCCATTTCCTTGCCAGGATCTTCAAGGTTCACTGACATTCTTGTCAAGATCTTTAAGGATCTTCAAATCTCTTGCAAAGATCTTTAATTTGGCTGTCAAAATCTTCAAGGATCTTTCTTTTTTATGCCAAGATCTTCAAAGATCTTTCAATTTATTGCCAAGATCTTTAAGGGTCTTTTATTTTCTTTCCAAGATCTTTAAGGATCTTCAAAATTTTCAAAAAGATCCTTGAAGATCTTGTCAAGAAAATGAGAGATCCTCAAAGATCTTAACAAGAATTTGGAAGATCCTCAAAGAATTTTCAAAGATCTTTAAAGGATCTTCAAAGTTCATGTAAAGATCTTCAAGGATCTTGACAGGAAAATGAAAGATCCTTAAAGATCTTGTCAAGAAAGTCAAAGATCCTCAAAGATCTTGGCAAGAAAATCAAAGATCCTTAAAGATCTTGGCAAGAAAATGAAAGATCCTTGAGGATCTTGGCAAGAAAATGAAAGATCCTTGAAGATCTTGGCAAGAAAATGAAAGATCCTTGAAGATCTTGGCAAGAAAATGAAGGATCCTTGAAGATCTTAACAAGAATTTTGAAGATCCTCATGAAGATCCTCAAAAGGATCCTCAAAGGTCCTCATGAAGATCTTGTAAGATCCTTAAAGATCCTTGAAAGATTTTCACTAGGGAACAGCAGAGCGCGGGCTGAGAGCTGCTTTCAGCCCGTGCTCTGCCGTCCACGGAGCGCGTATTTTCACATCAGCTAACACCAGGGAGACATCCTGCACAACTGCAGACGGTGTACTAGCCATAAAGGAAAATAAAGAGGATTTTAAGCCAATAAAGTTGGCTGCGAATAACAGTCGTGCTGACTAAGAGGAAATTATAGTAAGGGGGGCTGCTAATGAGGACA